ATATATACTCACTTTTTTCCCGGGGAAGAAAGTAATTTCATAAAAAGTGACATAGAAATAAAATATCAAACTTTTTTCCCGTCACAGAAAAAAACAACTTTTTTCGACTTTCCCGCAATTTTACTTCCACTCATCGATATTGGCGATGAAGAACTTTTATTAAAGGCGTGTAAATTTTAAGCTGAGGTGGTTCATCTTCACAACTCAATTGAGAACATATAAACTTTTTTCAGTTTTTCATGAAATTTCAGCAATTTGAAGAGACGGAAAAATGACCATTTTGTAAAATTTGCTATTTTATACCTTTTACTCCTTTTGCTATCAACCGTGGACAAACGTATGAAATTATTCCTTGTAGGAAATGTTGTCCCCACAGGACTAAAAATATAGCAGTACACTCTCTAACCACCCTGTATAACGTATAAAAATAATCATTAGCCCCTCTCGAAAAAATTAAAAACAATTTCTCCGAATATTTATTGATTTTCTCTCTGTCTGTCAATATAATTTGATGTAGGAATAAAACATTTATCTGGGTTTCTTCATTTGAAGCACATTATTTCAGGACGTATTTCCATGGTCCAGTCAGTCAATTATGGATTACCAAGATCGAACAGCTCTGAAGATATTCATGCTTCGGAACTGAAACTGGCATTTGATGTAAGTTGATTTTGTAAATATATAACTGATTTATTTTGAGCACCTCCAAGCATCTGATGATTGATGCAATTATTGCATGTATGGAAGAACATGAATGAAATTAGCATGAAAAAGTCGTCAGTTTTTTATGAGCCAGTGAATGAATCCACTCAATCCCTCATAAAATTCAAAAGTTATAGAATACACAACAACTAAGCTATTATTGAATATTACTGGAGTTTTCTCCCAACACCAAACCGTTATTTTAACACCTCGACACGTGTTTCGATCACCAAGTGATCATCTTCAAGAGGAAGATTGAACAGTTTAATCTTCTTCTTGAAGATGATCACTTGGTGACCGAAACACGTTTCGAAATGTTAAAATAATGGTTTGGTGTTGGGATAAAACTCTAATTACTCTAGTTACAACACCAAAGGTTCCAAACAGTGAATCACAAGTAAGCCATTATTGATTGATCAAAATTCTTCATTCAATCGTCTTGTAGGAGTAACATTTTTGAAAAGTTATACAGATCGTTCGGAATCGATGACTAATTCTGACTTTGTAAGAATGGGTCGAAACTCAGTTTTCTTAAAGGAAACAGTCTGTATTTTAAGATAGTCTTGAAATTTCAAGATGATTTTGACTCATCTTCAGTTTTTTCTTGAAAAAATAAAACATGAACATACCCACCATAAATCTTCAATTCGGAACAATTACAGAAAGTTTATTAGAGCTATTGATTTGCCGTCATGGTTTTTATTGTAGACAAATTGAAAATAGATTAGGTTTATGCACAATAGAAGTAACATCCATCTTTCTTCAATGTTTTTTAAAGTTGAGTCAATTTCAGGTAGGTACTCGTACAATCAATCGTAGAAAGACTTTTAGCACCAAAACTCGCCAGAACATAACCGTCATTAAGTGTTGAGTTTTCAAGTTCACGTATGAAGTGGGTGGTATTTTTAAGAAATCTCAACATTTCCTGTTATCGGTTTCACAAATTTCTAAAAGGGAAAAATTGAAAGTTACATTTGAAAAAGAGGACACAATGTCTAACTTACTTCATACATATCTCATTTATAAAATTTTCTTTAGTTTCCTGGTCCATTCTGTCTCCGTATTTTTTTCCCGGTCCTTCAAACGAACCAAACTCGGTGAGATTTTGATTCAACAAATTGAACATAGTTCGATGTGGTTGTTGTCTTTCGGGATACAAGTTTAAATACTTTTCCTATGTCCTATCACTGTTTCCATCGTATTTGTAATAAATTTGAATCATATCTCAACTTTTTCAATAATCATTTTTTTCAATATCTCCAATTTTTTGTAAAAGAAAGATAACTTATGATACATCATTGGAAAGGTAAAATCTGGTTCTATTCAAAACAGAAAGAAATCAATATAGCGCCCATGAGAAAAATAAAGTTGATGATGGTGGCCAAAATACGAAACGTCAGATAGCAAATCTGAAAACACCTTTACGTAGCAGGAAAAAAGTGGCAAAGTGGAAGTGCAATTTATTTTCGAATTTTCGAAAAAACATGAAGCCAGAAAAAAATAAAAACCAATTTCCAAAATTTTTGTTTTTTCCGGATATACTCGGAATTTCAGAACTTTCTCAACGGCATATTGTTAGTCATGTGAATGCGCAACTTTGCCCCAATTCAACCATCTTCGTATCTCTTATAGTTTCCGAGATCTCAATGGCTAGGATCGAATATGAAACACCCTGTAGAGGTGGAAGTTGTGAGAAAAAAGGCGATTTCTATATATCATTCAAGTTGTTTTCCTTTTTGTTGTCGGGAGAAATTATGAGTGAATCATTCATGTGCACAGCTAGTTAACGGAAAATCAAACAGATTTTTCAACAGACAAAAATCGTTTTTGTTTTTAAATAAATCATCATTTATTTACAAAAACGAGAAGCTAGGAGCCAAAAATTTCTCCAATCGAGATATTTTTTTTGTACAGTTGGGTTGGATGTTGCATCCAATAGTATATGGTGACTATCCCGAAAAGATGAAACTTCGCGTTGCAAGTCGCAGCAAGTTTGAAGGTCTTGAGAAATCGCGCCTTCCAGAGTTTACTGAAGAAGAGAAAGCGTACAATAAGGGCACGAGCGACTTTGTTGCCATCAATGCTTACACCATTTGTGAGGTATCTCCTGCTCCAGAACCGCCAGCAAATTCAACTCCTTCCATAAATACGGACTGGGGAGTGCAAATCTTCTGGGGAATGGTGAGTAGATTGTCAAAATACCATTTCTCAGTTTCCAACAAATCATAATAGTTCACAAGTCTCACCACCAGAAGCTAGACATATATAACTCCATATAACTCAAACTACAATCTTTCTGACAGAATGGTTAAGGCTTTCGTGGCCGAGGTTTTCAGTGTCACTATTTTTCGGGTTTGAAGGTCTGGATTTTTGGAATATCTTCTTGACGTCTGGCGTGATTGGCTAGCTTCCTCGGAGGTTTATACATCCTGAGTTATCTCCGATGACTGGATATTACGGTTGCGTAAAGCGTATTTATGTTGCCTCAGGTATACTTGTGGAACTGTAGCTATCGACTCATGCCCGAAGTCAAGCAACATGGCATTCCTTTTTTGAAATTGACTTATGTAATATTTTTTATGATTATGTCAATAAACTTTTTCACCGTTGAGTATTGTTGTAAAGTACAATTATAGTTCATGAGTTCAATACGCATTCTTATTCAACAGTTCCAACAGGTTATGGGCCCAGATGCGAACTCATGATTTTTCAGTAATCAAAAATTCAGGCAAATTCAGGCATTTTGCAGTGTTCACTCATCGTCGTGTTGGTTTGGTTAGGTGGTTCCTCGTGTTCAAGTAACACATCGCACCAGTTACCATGGCTATACCGAATTACAGAGTAGAGCCTCTGAACAAAGAAAATTACGACACATGGATTCAACAAGCCCAAGCAGTGCTTATCAAAACGGATGCATGGAAATACGTAAGCGGCGAGGAAGTGTGTCCTGATGAAACTTCTGTAAACGCTGATGCTAGAAAAAATTGAATTAAAAATGATCTTTCAGCCAGATCAGATATTGTTCTAATGGTTTCCTCTCCTGAATTACGTTACATTAAAACTGGCTGTCCCACGTCCAAAAATGTTTGGGACAAGTATAAGGAAATTTACGCCTCCCAGGGTCCTGCGAAAAAGGCTTATTTATTGAAGAAACTCATTTTAAAAAAGATGAACGATGGAGAAAATATGAGGGACCATGTGAACGAATTTTTTGATGTCATAGACAAACTCGATGAAATGAACATACCCATTCACGATGATTTGCAGGCTATAATGTTACTTTACAGCCTAAGCCCGTCCTTTGAGAATTTTCGTGTGGCAATAGAATCACGTGATACCTTGCCCACGCCAAATCAAATGAAAATTAAATTATTGGAAGAATATGAAGCTCGGAACAAAAATGATCCAGGTACTTCAAGTCAATCAGAAGAAGCCTTTTATGTTAAAAACAAAGGAAAATTTCGAAATTCTAGAAATTATTCAAAGTTTGGCTCGAACTCAAAATCTCGTTGTGAGAAATGCAACCGAAATAATCATACTACCGAGCAATGTTATGCCAAAACGAAGATCGAAGAATGCACCTTCCTCACAGAAGTGTGTATGTCATCAGGGCAAAACCGACCAGGCAATTCACTGTACTGGTGCCTTGATACAGGAAGTACATCCCATATTTGCAAAAATGAAGACACTTTCTTTCGAAAACATTTCTGAATTATAAAATGAAGAAAAACTTCAGCTTGCTTCAAATGGCCACAAAGTGTCAATTTCAGGTAGGGGGCGAGTCAAATTGCAAACTGAAGACAAAGTACTGAATTTGTCTGACACTTTATTTGTCCCAGAAGTAACCATGAATTTATTATCTTATATCGGACAGCAAAATCACCGATAAGGAATAAACAGTAAAATTCGACAAGAATAAAGCAAGTGTACTAAATGAAAAGGAAGAAGTTGTTCTGAAGGCTTCGAAATAAAACGGCCTCTACTGTGTGAACGACACAGAACTTATCCAGATTGAAAGAGCGAATTTAGTGTCCACTTCAAAAATTCATGAGTGGCATGCAAAACTCGGCCACATAAATGAAAACGATTTGAAGCTTGCCCAGCAAAATGAATTGTTGAAAAGGCTTTATTTCAATAAGAATGAAAAACTAGGAGATTGTGAGATTTGCATACAATCAAAAATGATACGAGCTCCGTTTCCAGTTCGTCCACTCCGATGTGTGTGGCCCAATGAAGAGCGTAAGTCCAGGGAAAGCGAAATATTTTGTCACATTCATATGTGAAAAAACTCGATACTCCAGAGTTTATTTCATGAAGCAAAAAAACGAGGTGCTCTATTATTTCAAAATCTATAAGAATGAAGTAGAAAACTTCCAGAACCAGAAAATAAAGTTTTTTCAAACCGACAACGGAAAGGGGGAGTACATAAATCAAGCATTTGATCAATTTCTCAAAGATCATGGTATTCAACGTCGTCTGTCAGCTCCCTATACGCCACAACAGAATGGCCTTGCTGAAAGGCTAAATCGATCTCTTCTCGAGAAGGCAAGATGCATGATGGTAGAATCCAATACTACTCAGATTCTGTGGGCGGAAGCAGTTCACACGGCAAATTATTTACGAAACCGATGCCCATCACGTTCACTAAATCACATCACACCGTACCAAGCATGGACTGGTAAGACGCCATCAGCTCAGCATCTTGATGTCTTTGGAAGAAAAGCGTTCATATTGAACAAGAAAGGAGGACAAGGTAAATTTGCTCCTCGAACTATAGAAGGAATCTTTGTCGGTTATTCTGAGATATCTAAGGCTTTTCGCATTTGAATACCTTCTCTTGGCCGAAAAAAGGCACGTCTTGTAGCAAGAGGCTTCAATCAGCGACCACACATCGATTTTACTTTCACTTATGCCCCAGTTGTCAAACTCAGCTCAGTTCGTTTATTGCTGGCACGAGCTGTTGAAAGTGACATGAAGGTACACCAGCTCGACGTCTCTACCGCCTATTTAAATGGTGATATTGAAGAAAATATTTATATGGAATTACCTCAAGATCTTGAGAAATATTTACAATATATCATGTCAGATGAATCCCAAGGCAAAGAAAATGCTTTCAACAATATACAACATACCCAACGGAAACCATGTTTGTCATCTTAATAAGGCAATCTACGGATCGAAACAGGCTGTATGCGTGTTCCGTCGACTTGTTCGTTGAATCTAGTCTGCACTTTTGTTTCATGCTTCTTCAGCCTTGTTCCCATGGATCTCTTGGTGGATCCGATGTATACCTTCCCATATGTGCACGGTATGCGATATACCCTTGCTGGTGGGTTCGAAAATCGTTTCAATGTTGTGTTTCCCCAAGAGTTTTCCATTTCTGTCTGTGGCCCTAGGAATACATGGTAGAAATGCACGTGCAACCATTTGAGCCTCCCTACCGTTTTGAACCGTGGAATTCTCCAGTTTCATGGCCTTGTAGATCTCGTGTAGATTAGATCCATTTGATCTCGAGGTTACTTGAAGACCTTCCAGTTCTTCCTCGAGATGCTCCAAGAAGATACAACAAAGTCTGAGCTCGGCAAACGAGACCCACCATCACCAGTAGGGATATATCGCATTCCGTGCACTTGTGGCAAGGCATGCATCGGATCCGCCAAAAGAGCTATGAGGATAAGGCTGAAGGAACATGAAAGAAACTGCAAGAACGGGCAAGTCGGCTGTGGCGGAACACGCACTCAGTGAAGGAAACCACAGGATTCTGTTTGAAAACACGATACTCATTGCCCCCAACCAGGGATATAATAGCCTACTGATACGGGAGACGATAGAGATCCACAAACACACGGATAATTTCAACAGAAAAGACGAAGCTGTGAACCTCAACCAAATATGAAATTCAGTTCTGAAAAGTTCAAGAATAACAAACAGCATGACGACAGGTAGAAAAGGGTTGATGAATGTTATGGACTATTTGTTATGGACTATCCAGGTACAGGTATTGGCTCGCCAAATTACCTGAGTCAATATGAACACGCTTTATGCAATCTACCTAATTCAGGTACAGGTATTAGCACGCTAAACTACCTGAGGAAACATAAATACGTTTCACTCAGCTTTTGGACCAATTGCAGTAACAGCAGACAAATTTTCCTCAAAATTCTTAGCATTTCTTGACCATTTTTATCTATATTCGTAATACTGACTCGTAATATACGTCATCCCATCGTGAATGTAACATACCTGGAGGATCACAGCCAACGTGTGTCGCTTCTATAAGGGCGAACGTCGGTTCACTCAACTTATCGAGTTGGACTCTGTACACCAAATCGTTGTTCATTTTGGTGAATAAATAAAAGCCACACAGTTCCCCTGTAGTTTGATACATTTCTTCCACTGAGATTGGTAGAGCCAAACAGTTACCTATACAAGTACTTCCCAAGCGGCGACTCTGAAATCTCTTGCTTTCTGCATATACGATTGGAATTATTTTCTAGCCGAATGGTCAAAATCGTTGAGATTGAAGTGAACCTGTTTATCGACGGACTTTTTCAGATGTCATATTTCTGGTGACGGACTGTTGTCTGTCAACTTCAAACCTTTTCCAAATGTAATCTATCTCATTATCTCTAACATTGTCTCTGATTCATTGAATTATTTCCACTAGGGACGTTCCTAAATGGAAGTGATAACCCTCTTGATTTCGAAATATCCTCCAATTCGACTGATATGAAGCTGTTCAGGCGAATTTGTGTCTTTGATACAACCAACACCACCATTGCTTTATCTGGGCCCATCCACTAGTGATGTAATATATACAATTTCAATGAGCCCAGAACTCTTTAAGAAAACACATTTAAATACTTTTCTATAGTATAACAATTTTCAATTGAAGGTAACTCATATACAAATTGAACTGAGAGCTAACGGCAACAATGTTAAATGTTAAATACTTTTCTATAGTATAACATTTTTAAATGAAGGTAACTCATATACAAATTGAACTGAGAGCTAACGGCAACAATGTTAAATGTTAGAACTAAATTCTTACCGAGGTCATTTTTATTGTCTATGCATCGCCACTGTAATTAATTGAAAAGTAAGATGATTCCATAAAATTTTCCCCCCGTAGCAAGATAGCTTCTGCATATCGATAGGATGTACGAGCGAATAGGTGAACCAGTTCGGTAAATACTTTGAAATATCGGTAAACTGATCAACACTTCGCAGGTCTAAAATTTGTACACGTGCCTTTCGAAGGTTAGGGTTAACTGAAAATCATATATATGTGGTACTAGTAGCGCCATCTGCGTGTTAGCCTACGAACTTTTCATCCCCCAAATATATTGCCTGCATTTTTTTGGTTGGTTGAAAAAGTTATTTTGATTCCAGTAGCATGAAAACCCATAATATACAAATACTTCTCCCATCAGAAGATATCTTCTCAACGCGCTTTTCATCAACCAAGTTGGTGTCATCGTCAGATGAACTACACTGAAGTCTCAACTCAACAGTGAACCCCCACTTTCATTGAAGTTACACATCGATGGAATGGAACTTTTGACACTGCTCTAGCACCAAACTTTCATATTATTTTTAGACTTTCAAGAGCATACAGAAGTCTGGTGTCATGTACTAGTCGATTTTAAGCAATGCTTATCATTCTCCAAGGCGTGTTGAGGGACTGCGCGTTCTTTAGAACTAGAACTAGCTTTTATAGATCATCCGATCCGACAGACATACTTATTGTCAATTTATTTCATGAATTCTAGACGTTTCAGTTTCTATGATATTGTTTTTAGAGTCTCCTAATATTTGCTGAAGTAAAAATGATGTCATGAAAGTTAATTGTAACATGTTTTATATATTTCCAGGAAGGCACCTCCGGACTTGGAAAACTGCTCGTACAGATAAAAAATCTTTACGCTGATCCTGATATAATGGTTTCTGAAAATGGACTACAATTACAGGATAACGATCCAGAAGACATTCAAAGAAAGGAATATATTGGGGTGAGATACATGTTGAGGAATTGCAATGACGACTTTCTTCATGAATATTAACGGCTTTGGCTTTGTATTTTGTATTCTGTTGAGAGAGTAATTTCGCTTTTATCGGTGATGAAATCCATGGCTGGTTGAAACATCGATGTATGGTGTTTTGATGAAACGCTTTCGAGCTGAGATATCACGATTGCCATTTTGGAACCAATGAGATACAACGTCAAATCCTCCGTGGGATGTTGGTGGGTATGACAATCGTGTCAACAAGCAATGGGAATGTTGCAATTTTCTGACTTCATAGTAGGACTTTCCCGAAATGTTTTACAAATGTCATTAGAACCAAACGGGGATTTTTGGGAATATATTAGGGATCATACTTTGCATGCCTGAGATTATTATGTAACTGTCAACTTCAGACCTTTTCCAAATGTAATCTGACATTATCTCTGATCTTTCGCCTTACTCCAAATAGGGAAGTTCCAAAATTCGAGTGATATTCCTCTTTATTTTGAAATATCCTCCTGTTTGAATGCTGTGGAGCTGTTCAGGCTAATATGTGCCTTTGATACAACCAACTAATACATCACCATTGCTTCATCTGGGCCAAGGATCGCCAAGTAGTTTTGGGAGGGGTCCGGATACTGTGGGAAAATTTCAAAGAGGTCCAGAAAAAACAACTTATAATAATTAGGTACTACCTATGTATTATTTTGGTTTCAGACCAAATTCTAAAACACAAGACCCAGTTTTTTTATAGATTGGTTCTCGATAGGAACGGAAAATATTCTAAGTGGGCGTCCGTTAATCTCGAACAATTTCAAAAAATGCATTTTTGAGAAAGATGTTTCACATACGTATGTTGAGCCAAACAAGGGATGGACCGGATGTTCACTAGGGAGTGCTACAGTGGATTTTATAATATCTACCCCCATTAACGCCGGTTAGAGGCAAGGGTGGACCGGATATCCACGTGGGAGTGCTGAAGTGGATTATATACCTACCCCTATTCACGCCGGTTAGAGGCCGTGGTGGATCAGATTTCCACGTGGGAGTGCTGAAGTGGAGTATTGAGAATTTTGAGAAGAGGAGAATGGACAAATGCACCAGAATGAGAAGCAACTTTGAATAAACCTAGAGAGAGAACCTTCGTTTCGAAATTTTTTTTAAACGTTGATAGAACTTTTGACCTCGAAATCATGGAAGGCCTGGAGACAAATGTTCTTGAAGACGATAAAGAAGATTACTTTGAAATACTACAGCGGTCGGAGGACGACGACAATGAAGGAGATAATTAAAATTATAAGTTGTAGTTGTAATTTGTATTATATTTTTTTATTTCCACAACTGCATATTATTAAATAATGCATAAAATCATAGTTTAGGTAAATATTTTGTGATCTATCGACTTTGTGTACTGATTTTAGATATAGAACTTATTTCCAAACATGATTTATCGTATACATTTTATTCCATGTGGAGTATTTTTCATTAATTGAAACGTTAACGGGTNATTCAGCTCCGACGGATATATTCATGTCGTTGATGGGAACGGTGAAGCCTGTTGGTGCACCTTTGATTGACGGGTCTGTAGTTAGAGATAAGTGAGTTTTCGCCATGCAAATAGGAAGCCTTCCGAATCCCTGGAATCGAATGAAAGAAAATGGTTACAGCCACATCATTAAGATTTTCTCTAGCTTAGTTTCAGAAAATGCATTATGGCTACAAGGCAGTGACCATATTGACCAAACAGTGACCAAACAGATAAATTAGCAGTTGCACAGGATCTTTCAGAAGACATTCAAGACATTGCCTTTGACTTAACTCTAGTTCTAGATGAACCCAGAGGTATTATCCATGGCTGTAGAAGGAGATCATAGGAATACATAAACATGAATATGATTTTAACCGTTGGGAAGAGAGCTTCAATATCAATAGATTCTCCCAATATTTCAAGACGACTTGGACCAAGCACGCACGAAAACAAGCGAACGTCCGAATTCCAGTAGGTTTGTTTTGGTTATGTATTTCGAACTGTTAGAGAATCGTTTCGAATTGATACACGCACAAAACACAATAGTTACAGAATAGTTCTGTAACAGTTCGGTTACAGTAGTTATGAGCAGTACTAAATTAGTAGTAGTGGTAGTAGTAGTAGTAGTAGTTATAGTGCTATAGTTATAGTGGTTCAATGCAACCTCATTGTCAGGTAGTATAATCTGTCCAATCACATGTGCTGGCCATCACAATTACAACATAAAAGTTTTACCAAAAATCCAACAAATTTATTAATATATCAATGAGAATATTTTACTGTCTTGACGTCTATTATTGTCTTATATATTGTACAAGCAATCATCTATGTAAACACAATTTCAGTGCGTTCTTTCAACTCCGAATTGAACTGCGTCTGGTGTTTTAAGTCGTTCGACATTTCGGCTGGCTACTCCTTATGCATCAACAGTGGATACACCGAAATCCGAAATCCATCTTGATTTTATTCAGGTTGAAGCCTGGCTCCCTTCCCAAGTTATCAAAATATTATTAATCTCGCTCATGGTAAAAAATAAATGAGGGTTTTGTAATCCATTAATACGGTTTCATCAAATAAATACATCATTTTAGTGATTTTTACTTGCTGTCATCATGCCTTTTCCCGCGAATATTCAACAATAAAATATTTGTTAAATTTACTCAGGGCCGTATTTGGAAATCTAGAGGTCCTGAGGCAACGAAGGAGTGGAGGCCCCTCATTTTTTTTTACAAAAGTTGAATTTTTAACTTCGCGCAAACGAAATTTAAAAAATTTCGAAAAAAGGGAAAGCGGGCGAAAATCGACGCATTCAATAGATAGTGTCGTTTGAAAATGATTTTTGAAGCGATAAGTTGTAAGGATGACCTGTAAGGTCAACCGTTTTTCGGATTTTTTTTAATCTATTTTATTTCTTTTGAATTTATGGTTACGAATTACGAATTGAAACAAGTGTTTCCACTAAAATGCTCGATCAAATAAAAAATTGATAGTAAATAGAAACTTGCAATAAGGGCTTTCTGATATATCGATAACANATTATGATAAGGATATAATTTTTTCATTATCTCCAATTCACCGAAAAAAATTGATGACTTATTATACAACATTGAAAAGGTAAAATGTGACAACAGAAAGAATCCAATGTAGCGCCCGGAAGACGAAACTTTGGATAGCAAATCTGAAAACACCGTTACGTAGCAATTAGCAATAGTGGAAGTGCAATTTATTTTCGAATCCTTCGAAAAATATAGCCAGAAAAAAAATAAAAGCTATTTTTCGAAATTTCTGTTTTTTCCGGATATCTCCGGATATACTTGGAATTTCAGAACTTTCTCAACATCACATTGTTAGTCAGGTAAATGCGGTGAGGATTGAATTTGAAACACTATGTATAGGTTGAACGATTTCAACAGCTAAGTTGAATTATTCTATCTGTTTTTATAGAAATCCATGAGTCGATTCAAAGACGCCCTGGATCAAGATGGAGTTAAACTTTTTGCATACACACTATGGTCTTTGATGGACAACTTTGAATGGAATTTTGGCTACACGTAAGATTTTTACCTTTCATGAACACATGCACACCCTATTCTCACGAAGTACCACTATTCAAATTTTTCCAAACAGAAATTGAGAGAAAATAAATTTTTGCAGGATTAAATATGGAGCCTATGCTGTAGACTTCAATAGTCCTAACAGGACCAGAACTCCCAGACCATTAGTGGATTGGTACAATAATGTTATTAAAACTCGTTGTTTAGTAGATACATGTATGGATTGAAAAATAAAATTAATTTCGATTGTCAAGTTGAGGGAATTCGGTCGAAATGTTAAAAAAAAAAAATTGAAATGAAAAAATTTATTAAACGATATGTTGATGATATAAGTTTTATGTATGAAAAAGAAAACGTAGATAGAATATCAACAACATTCAATAGTTATCATCCCAAACTTCAGTTCACCGTAGAAAAAGAATAAGAAATGATAGAATTGCTTTTCTGAATGTTTTGCTGATAAAATCTAACAACAAAATTATAACTGGCGAGTACCATAAACCAACATACTCTGAAAGACTCATTAACAATCACTCTATTCAGCCAATGACACAAAAAATTAACATCAACAATCCTAAATACAGAGCTACACACTTAGCACATGGGAATTTTAAAAACCAAAACCTAAAACTAATAGAAACCATGTTACTTAAGAACTACTATCGTAGATCTTTGACTAAAAAATTAGTTCATTCCGACAAAGCGAATACACAAAAAAACACTGTTGAACAATAAATATTCCAAATAACTGCATGTAGTAGGTTTGACACCGCAACTATGCAAGGTTCTAGAAAATGTAAATTTCAAAATCAGTATGAAATGTGAAAACAGTTAAAAATCATTTTTTACGGGATTGAAAACAAAAACACCAAAGGACCTGAAATCCAATATTATCTACAAAATAACATGTGCTGAGTGTGACAATGTATATATAGGACAAACAGCTAGGTATATAAAACAAAAGATTGCTGAACATATCACAACCCACTGAAAACAAAGAAAAATCCCACTAGCCTTGCAGAACATTGTAAGTCATCCCTTCAAACTTTTGATTTTGATTCAGTCAGTATTATAGGACAGTAGATTATATTGAAAAAAATACTCTTGAATGAAATGATTAAAATGAAAAAGTGTGGAACAAAATGTGTTAACAAAAGGTCAGATATTGAAAATTTACACACCTCATATTTCGATCTAATAAAAACAGCGAAGCAAATATTCTGAATCATCAACAGACGACTTTTTCCAATTACAATTCTCATTTCCTTCATAAGCCTTTTTTGAATTCTAAAGAAACGATTCACCGACAGTTCAGTTTGTTAATTTCTTCGTGTTTCTGTCAACGATTTTGATGAACCTATGTATGTATTTATATCTCATGTCTAATTTATTTACTTCACCTTTTTGAATTCGGAAAGCTGCTCTAAATGTATGTAAGTACTCATCAACGTTGTTTTCTGTAAAATGTTCGAAGCGTTTTATTTTTTAATGATTGTCATTTTACATAATGTATTTTGATTTCAACCAAACTACATCAATTCACGCGGGTTAGAGGCCGGGGAGGACCGGATGTCCATGTGGGAATGCAAAAGTGGATTATATATTACCTACCCCCATTCACGCCGGTAAGAGGCCGGGGTTGACCGGGTGTCCATGTGGGAGTGCTAAAGTGTATTATATAATACCTACCCCATTCATGCCGGTTAGAGGCTGGGGTGGACCGGATGTTCAGTTGGGAGCGCTAAAGTGGATTATATATTATCTGCCTCCATTCACGCCGGTAAGAGGCCGGGGTTGACTGGATGTCCACGTGGGAGTGCTAAAGTGGATTATATACTTACCCCCATTCACGCCGGTTAGAAGCCGGGGTGGACCGGATGTTCACGAGGGAGTGCTACAGTGGATTTTATAATACCTACCCCCATTCACGCCGGTTAGAGGCCAGGGTGGAACTGATGTCCACGAGGGAGTGTTAAAGTGGATTATATACTACCTATCCCTATTCACGCGGGTTAGAGGCCAGGGTGGAACTGATGTCCACGTGAGAGTGTTAAAGTGGATTATATTCATGCCGGTTAAAAGTTGGGGTGGGCCGGATGTCCACTTGGGAGTGCTTAAGTGGATTAATACCTACCCCCATTCACGCCGGTTAGAGGCCGAGGTGGATCAGATTTCCACGTGGGAGTGCTAAAGTGGATTATATAATACCTACCCCCATTCACGCCGGTAAGAGGCCGAGGTGGATCAGATTTCCACGTGGGAGTGCTAAAGTGGATTATATAATATCTACCCCCATTCACGCCCGTTAGAGACCGGGGTGGACCGAATGTCCACGAGGGAGTTCTAAGGTAGATTATATACCTACCCCCATTCACGCCGGTTAGAGGCCGAGGTGGATCAGATTTCCCTGTGGGAGTGCTGAAGTGGATTATATACTCACCCCCATTCACGCCGGTTAGAAGCCGGGGTGGACCGGATGTTCACTAGGGAGTGCTACAGTGGATTTTATAATACCTACCCCCATTTACGCCAGTTAGAGGCTAGGGTGGACCGGATGTCCACGTGGGAGTGCTGAAGTGGATTATATACCTACCCCTATTCACGCCAGTTAGAGGCCGTGGTGGATCAGATTTCCACGTGGGAGTGCTGAAGTGGATTATATAATACCTAGGGGGCAGCATTGCTTCGGGTAAGACAGCTGCGCCCCCAAGAAGAAGCTTCTGTCAATTTTGAGAAGAGGAGAATGGACAAACGCACCCCAATGAGAAGCAACCTCAAATAAACCTTCGTTTCGAAAATTTTTTTAAACGTTGATAGAACTTTTGACATCGAAATCATGGAAGACCTGGAGACAAATGTTCATGAAGACGATAAAGAAGATTACTTTGAAATACTACAGCGGTCGGAAGACGACGACGATGAAGGAGATAATTAAAATTATAAGTTGTAGTTGTAATTTGTATTATATTTTTTCATTTATACTTCGTATTCTATGTGTTTACATGAAAAATCCGAAGGACACAAGTCGGGGGACAGAGGAGACCACTCATATTTTATGTAAGTATCTACATAAAAAAATTACAGAACTCCAGTCGGGAGACAGAATAGGCAACTCATATTTTATGTACCACACAAAAATTCTAGAGGGCTCAAACCAGGGGGAGTAAGGTGGCCACTCACTCAATTGCACTGCTTCATCCCAACTTCCGACCATGAAACCTATCGTTCAATGATTACGCACGTTTCGTGACCATACAATCTAAACGAGTGGACCAATTTGGAAAAGCGAAGTGAAGGTAAAGGGAATTGAATGTCCTTCTCAGTGAGATGTCAGTCACTCAACCCCCTTTCTCATTCAGAAACTTTGGGGGGATGACAGCTTCGCTGGAGGCGAGGACAAAGCATGCCCTCCTTACAAACGAATTTGACGTGATTTTGATTCTTTTCCCCTCGTATGTTTCCAATAGTCCATACTGTATCTTTGCCTAGTGAAGAATGATGAAAAAAATTACTCAGGATGTTTTATTGTCAGTATCAGTTATAGAAGGAAATGGTATCATGACACTATTTGAAATGGGCTACTACTTGAACTCATCCATATGCGAAGAGATATATTTTCTGGGAATTGGAACCGTTAAGAGTTTTTTCCGGCATCACAATGTACTTATATCCTTTGTGACTTAAAATAGCCCCTCAATTTCACCAGTTTCGATATTCAAATCGATATCGTAGATTGCGGGTCTAGTCGGTAATCCTGGCATTTTGGGAATCTGAAATGAAAAAAATTATCAAGCGTATAATTTCAAATAAAAAGTGCATCGTCAAGTGTACGATTTCGCTTGAAAAATGAGATTATTCACATGCCGACCGTTAAAATACTCACTGTTCCTGTCAAGGGAATTATGAATTCAGCTCCGACGGATATATTCATGTCGTTGATGGGAACGGTGAAGCCTGTTGGTGCACCTTTGATTGACGGGTCTGTAGTTAGAGATAAGTGAGTTTTCGCCATGCAAATAGGAAGCCTTCCGAATCCCTGAAATCGAATGAAAGAAAATGGTTACAGCCACATCATTAAGATTTTCTCTAGCTTAGTTTCAGAAAATGCATTATGGCTACAAGGCAGTGACCATATTGACCAAACAGTGACCATATTGACCAAACAGTGACCAAATAGATAAATTAGCAGTTGCACAGGATGATCTTTCAGAAGGCATTCATGACATTGCCTTTGACTTAACGCTAGTTCTAGATGAACCCAGAGGTATTATCCATGGCTGTAGAAGGAGATCATAGGAATACATAAACCTAAATATGATTTTAACCGTTGGGAAGAGAGCTTCAATATCAATAGATTCTCCCAATATTTCAAGACGACTTGGACCAAGCACGCACGAAAACAAGCGAACGTTCGAATTCCAGTAGGTTTGTTTTGGTTATGTATTTCGAACTGTTAGAGAATCGTTTCGAATTGACACACGCACAAAACACAATAGTTACGTCTGTAACAGTTCGGTTACAGTAGTTATAAGGAGTACTAAATTAGTAGTAGTAGTAGTGGTTATAGAACTATAGGAGTACTACTATAGTAGTATAACTACTATAGTGCTATAGTTATAGTGGTTCAATGCAACCTCATTGTCAGGTAGTATAATCTGTCCAATCACATGTGCTGGCCATCACAATTACAACATAAAAGTTTTACCAAAAATCCAACAAATTTATTAATATATCAATGAGAATATTTTACTGTCTTGACGTCTATTATTGTCTTATATGCCTCCAGACTTGTGTTGTACAATCAATCATCTATGTAAACACAATTTCAGTGCGTTCTTTCAAGTCCGAATTGAACTGCGTCTGGTGTTTTAAGTCGTTCGACGTTTCGGCTTCAACTTTGAAGCCATTTTCAAAAAGGTATGCCTACATTGAGGTCTCCTGGCTACTCCTTAGGCGTCGATAGTGGATACACGCCGAAATCCATCTTGATATTAATCAGGTTGAAGCCTGGCTCCCTTCCCCTTTCAACTGAAGAACATAGTGGATACACAGGTTCTGGTCTGGTATTTATATCCGAGGACGAGTGGTGGGGCGGGCCAGTAGTGGGAGCGGGCGTGCATTTGGTATTGGGACCGGAGTGTGACTTGTAGCAGCGAGGTGTGCAGTGAAACACAGGATCGAGAGTTAAATTGAATAATAAACAAACTTTTTTGAGGTTAGGTTTCATTTTTCCTCCAGGGTAAGATGCCCTGGAGGACCTAAACAAACGAATCAATGCATAAGTACGTTGTTTTAGAAATATCATTTCAATAGCATAGACCTTCCTCTCCGTTCGCGACAGAGGACGGTTGTGCCGATAACGACCGCTCTCAAAGATGGTTGGTGGATGTCGGGATCGGAGTGGAGTCTGAAAGGTATAAGCTTACAATAAAGTGTAATCTAAAATGAAATTATGTTCGAATAAATATTGAAGTGAAATATGAGAGGACTGGTGGTCCCCTTTGCTAGTAACCAGGCTGGATGTCGACGTCTTTGACGAGGACATCAGTGCTATAAAATGTCTGAACATGTGTATTTGTGTTATTTTTATCCGAAGGCTTCCCGAAAAGAAGGCGACTATTAAAAAAATGAAGTGTTTTCGTTAAAAGAAGAAGTGAATGAAAAAACATAGGGTGGCAGCATTGCGTCGAGCAAGACAGCTGTACTCCCGAACAAAACTTCTGTTCACTATGCACAGGAGCTGGACAAATGTGCTCGAAAGAGAAGCAACGGCCATTGAAATTAGAGAGAGAGAGAGAGAGAGAGAGAGAGAGAGAGAGAGAGAGAGAGAGAGAGAGATTCTATTCAACTGAATGGTTACTCCAAAGTGGTGGTGGAACAGACTTCGGTTAGAAGACAGTGATAGCATCACAAGGAAGAGAAGCCGTTACAACCAGTGCTTGCACTTCCCTGCGTCAGAGGATTGTCATAAAGGATTAGAAGGATTGAGTCCAAGTACAACAGCAGAACCTGCTTCAGATCTGGAAACACCATTCGTAGCAGCCTCAAGAAAATCAAGCCACCAAACACGAGGACTGCGATTCCAAGAAATGTATTTACCGGATACCCTGTGAGTGTGGCCATTAAAAGTCCGCATTATTAAACACAAGGGAAACAGCGAGATGAAATCAGCAAATCGGAAATAGCAGAGCATGTGCGGACTCATCAACATAACAGCAAGTGGGTCCAAGCTGAGATGATTTACATGCCAAGGACAACGTCTACCACGCTGACGACCCGGGTTCGATTCTCATACCTATAAACTTATTTTAATTAGAACCACGTGACTGCTACGTGACAAAGGGGCCCGAGGATTGGTGCGGAGTCTCAAGGTGGGCTAGGGGTGAGGCGAATTATTGAGAGGACGAGGAGGCGGAGTCCCAAGGGGGGCCACGCTCTTTGAATCTCTCCGAAGCTCATCACATCCTGCATCGATTACGTCACACGTTTCTCTCCCCCACTCTTGTTTGACCTAGAAATTGCAAAAAGTTTAGCTCCATAAAAAATACATGGGATTTTGCGCTCGTACATACATTGCTCATCTACTGGATTTGAATTTCCCGCTGTACGCGCGGTAGCTTCTGATTGGTCGACTGTATGACGGCAAAAGTGGAGGAGTGGGCTCTGAAAGTCTAAAGCCCAATTCACACAGAATGGACGTATGGCAGAGATGAAGCGCGGACCTTTGTCATTACCGTGTGAACTGCGCCTGAGGTCCAAAAAGGTCCAGGACGGACCTACGCAAATTTGCACGGGTTTTTCCATAAGGGATGAGCCAGAACTTTTCTAGCTATATTACTGAAAAACACCGGGGGAAAAGGAAGTTCAAGGTAGTTGTACAAATGTTGTCCAACGACGCATTCAGCCAAGCTAGCGCAGAGATATTATTATTATTACATATAAATAAAGGCTGAGGACAAAGTCCTATGTAAGCCTAAAAATGAAGGATATCAACCAGTAAATACAATGTATGCAAAAAGAAAAGAAAAATAATTAATATATGCATAGAACCGATTGAGCAAATAAGCAAATGTCTATTTTGTTTTTGAAACTGTTCACTGAGTCGGAATTCATAACATCGTTGGGTTATTCCATGTTTCGAAAATACGATTCACCAAAAAATATTGTCTATCTCGTTGCGATTTTTTTTTTAATTTGAGTGTGTGACCACGTAACAGCGAATCATTGTTGAAAACAAAAAGTTCTTTCTGATTAGCATAGTTATACTTAGCTATACGGAAAGATATGATGAGGTCCCCACGGAGTCGACGTTGATCAAAAGCTAGCAGTTGTGCCATCCTCAGTCTTTCGGGATAGGTTGAACACACTTCACCAAAAGTCATACGTGTGGCTCGACGCTGTACATTTTCCAACAAGTCCCTATCGCGCACCAGAACAGGACACCACACTGGACCTGCATACTCCATGATTGGACGAACGTAGGTTTCGTAGAGTTTTATGGAACTTGAATATGATATATGGAGGGATGTTTTGCGGATGAGGTAAATCACTGTGTTTGCGCGTTTGCATGTGGATATTATATGTTCGGACCAAATTAAGTCGGTACTAATAGTCACTCCCAAGTCTACATGTGAGGAAGCCTATCCTCGCACCACTGACTAATCGAGTTGAGGTCTTCTTGAAGGGAATGATGTTCGACTAAGGCATTTTCATACAGTTTAGTATCATCGGCATAAAACGAATTTTTGATTTTTCATTGATCAATTTTTTTTTCTCTGTGGTCATTTTCATCTTTTATTTTGATTATATTTTTCGTTAAATTGAAATTTAATTTCACGTTTTATTGCTTGATAAAATTAATATTTTAGCCATTCACGACAGATAAATTTCCTCACAGAGGAAATTTTTGAAGATGCTTTTCGTAGATTCAGCAATATGATCTAGTTAAAATTGACGAGTTATTCGAAACAAGAACTTTTTCCTAACAGCAGAACTGCAATACTATTCTTGACGCGCGGTTAATCAACTAAGTTGGCGTCTTTCGAAGATGGGGAAAAACTGATTTTCAATGACTTTCGATTGATTGATTACTATAGATCGGTATAACTTCTCATCCTGTTCTTAAATTATTTCAAAGTGTTTATTCTCTATGTGAATTTTTGTGAAACTGTAACGTCAGTGGGTACTTACTCGCGATGGTTTATAGCCACAACAACTGGGACTCCATACTTCACACCGTTGCTGATATGCTTGAGAACATTTGGAATTCCCTTCGATAGTAGTTCTAAGTTCTCTTGAGTATATTCTGCAGCAAGAGGAGCGCCGGGAGTGACTGCAGGTCCACCACCGTGCATTTTCAAAGCTCTTATTGTCGTTACAAGAACTACCGCGTTGGGGATGTCCCCAGAGGCTCTGCACTTTATGTTGAAGAACTTCTCCATACCTACAGACAATAAATTAACAATTTACTTGATGATCTAAGTAGTTCATATCAAATGCAGATTGAACGTGTAATTCAAATTTTCAAAACTAATAGTATCTATCAACAATAAAATAGTGAACAATTCTGTTATTATCGATACTTTATATATTATTTGGTTTCTTATTCAAGTGAATTATTTGAGGTTATGTTAATTCATAGGAAGGAGAGAAAGTACTTGAAATATCAATGAGGTTGACGGCACATTGTTGAAGTTGTAAAGTGTTGAAATTTTGTCGATATTGTAGAACATGAACTGTTGGATGGATAATAGATCAAGATACGATACATTTCAAAACGTAAGAAGTATATTTATTGTAATTNTAAACATTGTGTAACCTAAGTTTCTCCTTTATTTTTTTACACTATTACATTTTCAGAAAAAATGAAAAAATTTAATCCAAATCATCATCTCGATGACAATAACCTTTGTCGAGATATTGGAAATATAATATTTTAAGATTACACTTGGGCTTTCGCTGCTATTCCAAACAATTATAAGAAAATAAATATTTCAAAATGATATCTTTGCAGGCATTCATCAGATCCCACACATTAGTTACCTCACAGTAACCTTGCAGACTCTACTCTGGAACGTTGGGAGGGATCAATATTTCGGGATTTCATTTCACAATATTTATTTTCATTCACGTACGTATCTATCCGCTGTATCTGATACATCAGACCTATTTTAATTTCATTGCTGAACCGAATGAAGTAAGTCCGATCTCAAAACGTGAACACTGTAAGAACAGCCACGACAAATGTCTTGGCAATGATTGAAGTCGTAATTTATAAAGCCATAAATCTGGTAGTCATGGTGTAATGAAATTCGGGTTAGCTTGGATTGCTGCCGAATTAAGATGAAACGGAATTGCAACTGGCATTCTATATAAAAATCCGAGAACTTCTGATTGAAACACCTTTTGATTGAAACACGCACATCGTACTAGTGCGTGTTCAGTGCGTGAAGTCAGTTCAGTTCCGGTCACCCTAAACTCAATTCCGTGTCCACGTTCAAGGATGAATATAATGTGTCACGAAAAGATGCAGTTCGATTTCGCGTTTGAATCATTTATCACCGGACATTGCTATGTTTCTTATATATGTTTTTGACACCGAACATATGCAAACCTACGGATTTAATACCACCGGCTTCGGGTTTTACCCCATTATCAAGCCATAGAAATTAATAAATCAATTAAAAACCTGAAATATATACCCAAAAACGAGCAACTCGATTTATAAGTTTGACAATTCCTATAATCTTCAGTGTTAAATTTTATAGTTGGTACCATTTTTCATTTAACTATCTCGCCTTCTAGCTTACCTGAAAACTCCCTATATAACCTAATTATCAGATTTCACATGTTAGTTTGTACTTGATAATTGGGTAAAACCCGAAACCGGTCGTAAAAATAAAATAAATAGTGGAAATTAGACAAAAGTGTTTCTATTCATTTCATTAAAGTGATCATGAATCACCACAAAATAAACAAGTAATCAATCACACATATTAAAATAACAATTAACTGTCTCACAGATTACAAAATGATCATTAATATTTATGCCGAACCACGTATAGTGGTTTGGTTAACCTTTGCATTTCATAATAGAAATCATAGTAAACTGTATTGGTAAGGGAATAATTGACTCAACTTCTGTCAGTCAGAAATATGAAATGGTTTATCAGATGCAAATTGTAAGTGAAAAGAGAAATGAAAATTTCTATGTTTTTTTCCACTTTTATTTGTAACTAACGTTACTGCATTTCTGTGTTTTTTAACACAGAAATTAAAATTTAGGAGTACTTAGGAGTACTATTGAAAATTGAGGAAAAAATGGAGAACACTGCGGAATTTTTTGTTATCACATCAACAATAAATAAATGATAATTCTTCTCACCAATGTCCGAAGAAAATCCGGCTTCTGTTACCACGAAACCATCTTCACCAACCAACTTCAGAGCAATCTTATCGGCAATTATCGAATTGGATCCGTGAGCGATATTAGCGAATGGTCCAGCGTGCATGAAGACAGGGGATCCTTCCAAGGACTGAAGAAGAGTTGGTTCCACGGTATCTTTCAGAAGAACCAACAAGGCCCCGGTTACTCCCAGATCGTCGGCAGTTACAGGCTTACCGCATTTGTCGAAAGCGACGACCATGTTGGACAATCGTTTTTTGAAGTCTCCCATATCTTTGGCCAGAGCTAAGATTGCCATGATTTCACTGGCCACGCTGATGACGAATGATTCTTTTCTGGTCAAACCCTTCTCGGTTGGGGATTCCCCGATGGTTATTTCACGAAGGTATCGATCGTTGATATCCAGTACTGTAAATAATAATAATAATGATGACGATAATGATGATAGTGATAATGATAACGATGAAGATAATGAAAATGATGATGATGATGATGATACTGATGATTATGATAATAATAATAATAAAGACAAGTACCGCGTCTCGTATTCAATGTGTAATGGATTATAGGGCGGCCACACCAAACTACGACCTATCCATCACACTTTGAGTTGAGGCGTTCTGCTGACCACCAAACAGCACTGCCGTGATAGGAAACAAATGCTAGTGGCTGCTAAGAAGTCACTAGTGAGGAGCAAGAGGTATCGCGGAAAACCTCAGGTTCAGCGAGAAACCTTCTTGCTTATTCCAAGAACCTCCACGTGTTCTGAATAATCCTCCGACCGTTGATCCAAGTGGAAACCTTCGGAAAGGATGCCTATGAACACCTGCAGTCAGTCGACTTAGATATTCCAGCCAAAATCCTCAGTTCCTCTTCTGAGTCTCACTATTGCCATAATCCGTTGCGCTCATAAATACTCGAGGGTAAAACAGTGGCATCTCCGGTAATCGAAGGCACAAGGTCACCCGTTTGTTTTATATGGAAGATCTGAAACTTCATGCCTCTGGAAAAAAGTATCTCTATCAGTCCTTGAGGGTGGTGGAAGAGTACACGCATGCTACCGTTATGAAATTCGGGATAGACAAATGTGCAATGGTCCATCTCGAAAGAGGACAATGCGGGGACTGAGGAGAAGATGTGCAGCTCCTAGATGAAAGCATCCTGCATCATCTGGATGTCGGAGAGACGTATAATTACTTCGGGGAAGAACAACGCCACTCACGAGAGGTAATATCAGTGTAGAACTCTCTCGGCGGCAGATCTAGTGATCGGAACTGTCGTGGATGAACAAAGTTACTGCAATAAATATGCTCTTTTTTCTTTCTTCTTTCATGTGTAAATCCCATCTATTGCGACACCAAGGTAATTCGTCGATGTTACTGAAGGGATTTGTTTGTTTCAACCTACCTTGAGGGAGCCTAGGTTTGGTAGACAGCTGATTCAAGATGTAAGTAAGTTATAAATACATATATTCGCAATTAATTCCTACAAATAAATAGGTGACCAATCGAACAAGTGATCTATTATTACTGATCTAATTTAGTTCCACTCTCATAGAACAGTTTCGTCCATATTTAAAAACCTTTGGAAAGCACCCAGGCTCAAAGAAATCGTTCATATGCAAAATATTGTCAACATTGCTTTTAAGAGAAATCTCTTGTGCTGGTAGGTTTTCGAGGTGTGTCAGATCTGGAAATCTATTATTCGTTCATTAAGCTCCCAATTCAACCAATTTTCCTTTCTATAAACTTTGAAAGTCTATAGTTGTCGATGATTCAGAGGGAAAGTGAAGTACTCACCTCTGTTCCACACGATGTTGTTAGTGTCAATATCCAAACGAGCGAATTTCGATTTCTCCTCTGCAGTTAGAGAATCAGGATCAGTCTTGCTGATTCCAAGTTTCTTCAATCTCCTGATTTGAATATTAGAGAACTTGCGGGTGCCCTTTATCTTCGGTACTAAACGATCGAAGAGAGCTTGATCCTTTTGAGTAGCTTCGTGGAATATTCTGGCATCCAACTGAGCTGCCAATAAATTGTTGGCCGCGGTGATTGCGTGAATATCTCCCGTCAAGTGGAGGTTGACGTCTTCCATGGGTATGACTTGAGAATAACCGCCTCCTGCAGCTCCGCCTGTGATAATAATAGTAATGAGTATATTGAACAGTCGTTAGGTATCCTAAACCGGAAATGTTTACCTTTAATACCGAATGTTGGTCCCTGGGAAGGTTGCCTCATAGTAGCGAACGTGTTTTTCTTGATATGTGTTGACAAGGCTTGGACAAGACCCAGTAGGGTGGTGCTTTTTCCTTCTCCCAATGGTGTCGGAGTCATACTGGAAAATATTCGAGATGTATGATTATTTATCTGCGGGATAAACGCAGCCACGTTTCTGTACTTTGGTCATTTTTGTACTGTTTACAGGAGTCAACTTACTTTACTTATTCACAAAGATAAAACTAATGTAATACTTTTAAAATTCGCGTGTTTGCTCACCTCGCTTCTCTAATACTAACTCACCACTACTTGCGTTGAACCAATATTGATGATCTGATTGTCAACATGCTACTTTTATAGCGGTTCCGTATTTCTGGTATTTTCCGGAAACTTCGAGTATCGAAGGTTCGAGAAGCGGCGTTACAAGTCTCATATACAGCGGAAGCAGATTCGAATACTGGGCAGAGCCGCTGTGTTGCCAGATTTTAAATAATTTAATCAATTTAGGGGAAAAGCAAATTCGGAATATCGTGTTCATTAAATTTTTGTGAAAAAATAACTCAAAAATCATACGTGTTAGGAAATTTCTACTACCATTTTCGCATTTAGGGACCAAAAATTAACAAAGAACTGCCTTTGGCATTACAGTCGTAAATTGGCTGTAAACTAGTGTTATCAAAGATTGTAAACTTCTACGGTCGGAGATGCCTGTGTGAGAGCTATTTTCTGGATTTTTTGGCCATAGTCTCCAGGTTTTTACGCCTGACGTTTCATCTACTACTGAGCTATACAGTATCAAAGTCGATGTGGTAACGGTCGCAGTGTCCGAGTTGTTGTTCCGAATGCATCAACCACGATGCTGGTTTTTCATTATTATCAGTAGGCGTGGCTTGATTTTTCCTAATTGGAAACGTATCGAAGCAGAAAGAGGAATTGTCTGTCCTGACATTATTATATCCGGTTCGGAGACATTTATCTTCTTGGAGAAAACCGATGCCTGGGTTTTTGTGGCATTGAATTGAACCTGGTTACTTTCACCCCAATTTGAAATCACTTCTAGATCCTTATTAAGATATGCAACCTCCTGCTGCCGGTGAAGATGTGCCTCCGTAGCCGATGACCCGGAATCCAAGTGTGATGTCGTCAGGAAAGTAATATATTGGATTCTTGTTATAAGTTATTGATATACAATAAAAAGAGGGTTGGCAACAATACGGATCCATGGAGAACCCCCGCGTTGATGGTGAAAGTTTTCGAGAGATATTCATCGACGGCCACTTGCAGGTAACGTTTTTTCAGGAAGCTGAAGAGCCATACACAGAAATGATCCGACAAGCCATAGCATCGAAGTTTGGCCAGCAAACCCTCATGACACGCACGGTCAAAGGCCTTAGGAATATCAAGCGCAATAGCTCTTGATTCTCCATATTTCCTGATTGCGTTATCTCAAATATGGATGACATACGATAGAAGGTCTCCTGTTGATCTTTGTTTCCGGAAGCCATATTGATGATCGCTCAAGAGGTAGAAGCCTTCCAAATATCTGATGATATGGTGGTGTACGACTTTCTCCATGATTTTTGATATCACTGATAGCAAAGCAACCGGTCTATAGTTATTTGAAAGATTTTTCTTGCCCTTTTTGGGAACAGGCTGAACGCGGGCAATCTTTCAACAAGAAGAAAAAACCCCTATTTTGTAACACAGGTTGAAAAGTCTGCAAACTCAATGTACCTGCTCGTAATTTTTTGGTCAAAAATGACACCGTTATTAATAGATTTTCCCCCTGAGACTTTCTCCTAATCCCAAAATTGAAAGGACGCCGTTTTTAGACGATTGTGAAGATAAAAACCAAATCGCTGAGAGCTCAAGGACATATCAGAAAGTGTAAATCAGAACCGCTTCGAGGATTGGAAAACACACTGGCACCAGTGTGATTCATCTGAGAGACAAAAGGGGACTAAATAATAATATTTTTCGGAATTCACCTTATTTTTTGAACAGACCTCGTACATGTTTTGGATTTATTCTACGTCAAAGGTCCTAGTTCTATCCCTTGAAAACTTATAAGTTCGTTTATCAGACAATGGGTATCTCGAGCATCTAATAGTCAAGTTTGAGGTCATTTTTGGAGTTACTGAAGATAAGTTCGAGGTCCGGCTATTTAATAACGAGACTGCGCGCCTAGAGGGTGCCCTAGAGGGGTGGGGAAAAAAACGACGAGTGCGTTGGGAATCTGGAAGTCTTCTTTATTCACGTACCAGAGCTAGTTTTCGTCACTATTATAATATTTGTGCAGTAGCTTTTTGAAAAGAAATTGTTTTTTTCTCTTACCGAAAACTACGTGTGACGAAAAGGAGGAACAACCTATCAATCTCAAATTTCTCGTTAAATTGAAATAAACTCCGTCTGAGTGCTATAAATTGTTGCAAGAATCCTTCTAATCAGTAAATGTTACTATAAAGTAGATGCATTTTTCATTGAGTGACTATGGTGCCTGAATGCATTTTAAATGTATTTTAAACATGTATTTTATACTCTTAGGTATATTACCGGTGATAATTATCAGAATATTACTGTATAATTTTTAGTATTATTCAAGATTTAACATACATGTGCTGTGTCCCCTTTTTTGACTGTTCCAATATCATTTGAACTGTGATCAGTCTGGAATATAATTATTATTTTTTTTTCACCATAGTTGGCACTTTGGCACTGGTCAGGCCCTATCCCCCGAAGCCCCGATACATTCGGGAGGGCGTCCCAGCATTATCAACCAACGACCACTCCCCAACGAGAACGAGTTCGCAAGAAACGGTCCGAGTTGTGGAAGAACAACTCGTGGATTTTGCACCAGGACAACGCACCTACCCATCTGTATCTGTAGAGTAGGGAGGATGAGTGTAGGCCCACAGCACTTAGGCCACATATGATCCATGTACATCCTCCCGAGGAGTTGTCCTCCTAGGTCATCGTCCTTCCTGTTCTTTCCAGGAGTGTGGTTAGGTCAGGCGTAGGCCAAGACTCGCCGAACACACACTTTCTTATTGACGATAACTCCGGACATTCGCATAGGACATGCCTGACAGTTTCATCTTCCTGTTCACACATACTGCATAGATGTGTGTCCATAAGCCCCATATTGTGAAGGTGTTTCCCTAGTTGACAGTGGCCAGTCAAAAATCCTACTGTTGAGCGTAGATTTTTCGAGGTCATCGTCAGATATTTCTTCGGCGCCAGCTTCCCAGGGTCGCCCAGGGTGATCCTGGCAAGATTGCATTATTTGATTTCATCCCATCTCTTTGAGGATTGAGCATAGGTGTGACATTTGGCTAGTTCCGCATTTGTCGAAGTCATCAGGCCGTAGGTTCCACTGGGTCCTAAAATTCTTAGTCCAGACGCTTCCTTGGCTGAAGAGTCGGCAATGCGGTTACCTTAACTCCTGTCATGCCCTTTAATCCACCTCAGGATAATGTTATTATCTACCGAGGCTCTGGCTAAATCTTGGTGGCACTCTAGTACTAGCCCTGCACTAGTACTATAACTATCTGTGAAGCGGTATTTGGCTGGTAAACGCACTTCAGTTTTCCAACACGCGATGTACTCGCTAGATTTGGCACCGTGCAACTTTTTTTGTTTCCAAAGATAACATCTGCTTTGAAAGGTGCCCGATTTGAGTTGATGGAAGCGTTAAAACAAAAAACGCTAGAGCTCGTAAAGACCCTCACCAAAGAAGCCTTCCAGCCCTGCTTCGATCAATGGAAAAACCGTATGGAAAAGTGTGTGGCTAGGGGAGGGAAATCTATTGAAGGGGGTCATTCGAATGTAGAACAATTTTCATAATAAATTTGTTTTTCGTAATCAGTATCGTTATTTAATAGCCGGACCTCGTGTACAGTCTCTAACTAAATGTGTTCAAGTATTGAATCGTACTCTCCGATACCTAATGCTAGTAAGTATCGAAACAAACTGTAGTTTAATGGAAGATTTTCACTACATGGGCGATACCGTCCCCGTCTGAGGAAACGTTTTCAGATTGAAACAACACGTGTCGCGGTTTTTCAAACCTTTCATGGTGAAAATCCGTATTAGTTTTAACTCTGTTTATTTACTTACCCTACTACGACTACGTATTTTCCATTTTTCTGATCGCTCAATCTATCCAATACCGACAAAGCAATTTTTGCCTTCTTACTTCCATACTGAGAGACCTCGGAGGGAAGCAAACCGATTTCATTCGCCAACTGAGTGATATTTTTTGGTGTTTGAGCTCTGGATATGGCGATATCGCTGAAACATTTCCAAATTATGACTGTTACATGGCCATATCATTTAGTTATGAAAAGAATAAATTTGGTTACACATTTTAGTGTTTGAATTGAAAGGAATATAGTATACAAACAATGTGGGAATCTTTCAAAGAAATGAAGAAATCAATTTATTTCAAAATAAACTCTCTACAAAGTTGTGTAGATCATGCAAAAAAGTAACTTTCAAACGCAAACGAAAAGAATAAACCCCCTGAAAGCCACTACTTTCATATAAAGTTCGAATTACATACTCCAAATAGTCGTTACAGAATTTAATCAGATACTATTCACAGGGTTCACAATATAGTATTGAATCAAATAAGCTATAACAAATTAACGAATAAACTGTCTCAAACAAATATTACTGTTACTACTACACCAAAGGTTCCAAACAGTACATCATATGTCTCAAACAATAATATTTCACTAATCACATTTACAACACTTAGCAACTAACGCTTAATTTATCTCCACTATTTGAATTCCTTGTTTAACCGCTCGATTCACTTTTTGAACTCCCTCTTGGGTCGGGAAGCCGGCCTTATATAGGTATGGATTCTTTATAGGAATCTGTAGTCGGTTCGATACTCAACTAGAGTTTTACCGGCGGTTGCCGACTGTATTCCTTTTTTTGTTGGTGATGTGACGGCTTCAGGTTCGTTACAAAGCGAGTACGTGTCATTACGTACAGTTTGTCAAATCAAGGAAGCGACTTCAGAGTCTCGGCTCAGAACCTTCCTAAGATGCGCTTGGTAGAAAACCCTTAAAGACGATTGGAGCTTAGCCTTAGCGACAATATATTGCCTGTCACAT